AAAACATGAATTGCCGGAAAATCTCGTCAATGGCAGAGAAGCATTTGGGCATAAATGACGGAAAACCTCGTCAATGGCAGGGAAAGAGTTAAACTGCTATCCCGATGATCTGAAGTTATTGTCAATGAAATGCAGACCGCGCTTTCTACCAAGTGAATTAACTTTGGTCATCATCACAGTGGTCTACATTCCACCACAAACAAATACAGAGGCTGCCCTGTAAGATCTCTGCAAAGAGCTGAACCACTCAGAGACTTTTAATCCTGGTGCTGTGCTCATTATTGCTGGAGACTTTAATCACACTAACCTTAAGAAGGTTTTGCCTGACTTCCATCAACATATTGACTGCATCAAAGGGGGAATACGGTCACTAGATCACTATTATACAGAGTTCAGAAAACAGCTACATAGTAGAACCCCTTTCCTGGCAAGAGTGACCATGTAGCCATCCTATAAAGATTTAAGTATGTAAACAAACTGGTGCATCCCTCCAGTGACGTGACAAGTCTGGAAATGGTTAAGCCAATCAGAGGCCGCCCTGCAGTTTATGCAACATGATGCAGTCTGGAGAAAGTTCCAGACTACACTTCTGTAGTGATGAAGTGCTTTGAACAGCTGGTTAAGGATTACATCTGCTCCTCACTAAACAGCACACTGGACCCACTACAGTTTGCCTACCGTTTCAACTGATCTACAGAAGACGCCATAGCACACATCCTTCTCACCACCCTATCTCACCTGGAAAACAAAGGAAGCTATGTGAGATTGCTTTTCACTGACTATAGTTCAGTGTTTGATATCATAGTTCCTTCCAGGCTGGTCACAAAGCTCAAGGAGCTGGGATTAAACACCTCACTGTGCATGTGGATCCATGACTTCCTGTAAGGCAGGCCCCAAGGTGGTGAGTGGGCTGACACACCTCTTCCATCCTCATCCTTAACACAGGAGCACCCTAGGGCTGTGTTTTGAGTCCCCTGTTTTACTCCCTGTACACATACGACCTTGTAGGCAGTACACATACGACCTTGGGGCGGCTGTGGCTCAGAGGTAGAGCGGGTCGTCCACCACTCAAAAGATCAGCGGTTCAATCCCCTGCTCCTCCAGTCTGCATGTTGAGGTATCCTTGAGCAAGATACCCGTACTCGTACTCGTTGTCCTCCGCTTATCCGGGCCCGGGTCGCGGGGGCAGCAGCCTCAGCAAAGAAGCCCAGACAGTCCTCTCCCCCGCCACTTC